GGGGGTTGGCTTATTAGAGGGGGGTTGGCTTATTAGAGGGGGGTTCGCTTATTAGAGGGGGGTTGGCTTATTAGAGGGGGTTGGCTTATTAGAGGGGGGTTGGCTTATTAGAGGGGGGTTGGCTTATTAGAGGGGGTTGGCTTATTAGAGGGGGGTTGGCTTATTAGAGGGGGGTTCGCTTATTAGAGGGGGGTTGGCTTATTAGAGGGGGTGGCTTAATAGAGGATTTACGGTAGTTGTTATGTAGTGGTACCAATGTCTGGGAATCTGGAGTCATCTGGAGTATAGAATTCAAAGTGCTGGGGCTTAATTCTTAATGGGGACATCAGAATTGTTGTTTGTCCCATAATCATGACAGGACCAATAATATCTGTCATCAACTTTTAACGTCTCAAATTTATTCTTAAATATCAACAGGTGTTTGATTTACTTTGGTGCCTGGTTTGTCATGACATCTGGTTTGTTTGGGAGCGATCTCAATTCCTTCAACAGGCTGAAGGACAAACGCTGACGTCCAAACCTTTCTCGGTAAGGAACACATAAGAATTAGACTCAAACAAGGGCGGGATATTTCAACCAACAGTTTGTAATTTCAGAAATGATTTCATAGCAGGATGCACTAGAAATTCTATGTAGATTTGTACATGGAAGTAGTCTTGTTTTATCTCATCTGGTCTTTTATGTGACTTTGATATTTATTTCTTTGATAATTGTTATTTTTCCGTCTGATCTTCAGCATGGAGAATAGTTTTGTGGATAACTATTGCCAGAAATAATGACTTGTAGTAGTGGAAATAAGGCCTGAAAAAATTCAGGCCAGTATGGGATTTGAACCCATGGCCTCCCTGAGCACTGCACTGCACTGCACTGCACTGGTATCGCAGAGGTCATGAGCTCAAATCCTGTATGAGCCTGAATTTTTTTCAGGCCTTATTTCCACTGCTACATAAGTAGGGTTCTTTACTGCAAGGATCACTTTTATACAAAACTCAAAGTGTGTTTAACAACACAGCTTCTAGATGTGTTCTAGCTTTGGTGTGGATACAGTATTTGTTATCAAATGTATGATAATGTTCCTCATAGTTTCAAATTATTTGTTGTATTACTGACAGTGTCTATAATATTTATTTGTTATTTATTCAAAGTGGACTCCTCCGCCTCCGCCACCCAAAACTTCTGCCGTCAAGACAAAGAAATCCATGCTGTCAGGATTTGGATCCAAATCCCTGACTCAGACACCAATAACCTCACCTGAGGTAAGGAAGATGCTGGATTGAAATATAAGGCAACAAAACCTTTTTAATATGTGACATGCATCATTATAAGTAACTACAGTAATAGTCAAACCTCCATTATCCAGATTTCTTGATTATCCAGCCTCTTTTTCTGGTCCCAATTTTTTTGTGAATATTTATTAGTCATTATCAAGATCTAGCCATATCCTTTTGTAAAACTACAGCATTGGAAAAGTGAAGTAAAGGCGATGTTTTTCTTCCTAACAAACTGACTTACTTCAACAATTTAGCCAATGTAAAAACATTTATCATTGATTTTAATTGTTAATGCACACGTGTAGAGGTATTCACATAGTACAGTGAAGATGTAGACCACATCTTTTTCAAAACGATTTGTAAATGTTTTGTTTCAGGATTAAATGTCACTTTCTTAATTTGATCAGTTTTTGTTCTTCATTAATATTCATATTCTTGATTATCCGGACTATTTTGTCTAGTCTCAATGTGTCCGGATAATTGAGGTTTGACCATAAGTAACATTACTACTATGTTAGTATCGTAGCAACTACTCACCTACCCCCTCCGAACCCAACATTAACCCTTACTTGGGAGGGGTGACTGTGCATTTGCTCAGATACTGACATGAAACCTTACTTACCAATATAACTTACAGTCATGTATTATTATAAAGAAACATGACTGAAAACTATAGCTTCATCAGAATCACCAGTTTCTCTTCTTATAACAGGTGCCTTCTCCAAGTCCAACAAATACAGCGTAAGTTGTTTAAAGTGCCTATGAAACTTAATTTTTTTTATTCTACATCAAAATATAATGACTCTTAATTATGTTTTCACAACATTTGTGGTATTTTGCCCTTCTCTGAATTTTTCATCAAGCTCTATAATCAGCGGATAAAATGTCTGGCCGAGGGGCTGGGACTGGGCACCATGACGTTACAGTAGGAATCTTGTGGAGAGAAATATTCTTCATCAAGTCAGGGGTATTCGAAAAACCCCAAACTACACATCAAAATGGCATTTTTTGGCTAAAAAGATTGTAAACAGTAGCTTCCACACTCACTTTGCTTCTTTGATAAACTTGGTGTTACTACAGTTACGTCATGGGTTCCAGTACTCTGTAATGCGGCCAAAGAGATATGGGGAGCCTAAGTTCGATACAACTTTGGACTTTTATCGCCTTGTAAAATAACAAAGATGCATCAGAATCACTCACAAATCTTACCAGACACCCTCTACGTACTTCTATTTTTATAATTTAATGCCAAAAAGACAGGTGTCATAGGGACTTTAAGTTGTTGTGTTTTAAATGGGCAAGACACCTTACTCTCACCAAGTCCCTCTCCACCTTGCAGTGTAAATGGGTACCAGAAAACTGTCAATGGAAGTAAACCTAAAAAAATTCAGGAGGTGGAGGTGGGGGGGGGGGTGTCTCTGTGAGAGTGCGATGGGTAAGCTTACTATCCAGAGGGAATTGTTAAATTCCTGTTTACCTTGTGCCTCAGAAAGGGGGTAAACTCTTCTAGTTATGGACTAATTAACCTGTAAATCTAAACCTTCACCACTCACCCCCCCCCCTCCCTGCTCTCTTTATTGACTACTACTCTGGTCCCCCAGTTGTTGGAAGGCTGGATAATGCTATGCACTGGATTTATCTCTATCTGCTGGATAGCGCAGTACATTTTGCAGTTCCTTATCCACTGGATAGTGATTTATCTGTTTGATAGCATTATCTGCCCTCTATACAACTGGGCCCTGGTATACAAATTGAAAATGAACCTCTATGGTTAGCCCTGACTGTTACAAAAAAAAAAATCCACCAGTATTAGTTTGTACATGCTGACCATGTATGCAATTATGCAAGGCATAAGCTGATGTGTATATTGCAATCCTATAATAATGAAATAAGCTTGAAATTAAGATACAATTTACAAGTCAGAATGACTATGATAATTTTTCTGCTTTCTTACTCTTACAGGAGATCAGATGACATGGTTAGTAGACGCCACAAGTCAAGAAATTATCCTTCTCCAGAATACTGCATCTTGGATATGGTGAACGCCCACCTTAAAATGAACAGAGAGGGACGCAAACTCACAAGAGGTGTTTTGGTAGGCATAAGTCCAAGAATATGTCGCTTTGACAAATGAAAATCTTTGAGAATAGATCTTTTTTGTACATGCACAACCTTGATTCTTGGTTTAATGAACACAAGGAATCGATAATGTGTGCTTATATTTACGTGATTTGAGGGAGCCACAATCCTTTGGTTGAAAAAAAAAAAGAAGAGAAATAGTAAATTTATGATTCACTAACAAATAAGTGCAAAGCATCGCACCATTCAGTCCTCAGGTTTAACATCAGCAAAACTCTCCTGAGATACAGTCAGTGTTACTTACATACGCAATAGTGAAAGTTTTCAACATGGAGAAAAGATTAATCATGAGATGAAAGGGATTACTGTGTAGATATTCTATTATCTATACTGTAAGTTAGAGTAATAGCTGATTACTCTTTATAGCCAATTTTTATTTAGCTGCAAGGTCATTCCTATTTAGACTAACTTAGTATGTTGTCTCCACAGAGTTTGAGTGACCTTACAGACAGCAGGTATGAATTGTTAACTAGAAAGGGAAATCAAATGAAAAAGCAAACAAACACAATTCGGCTGGACTGATAGATAGACTCGTCTGACAGATCAACTGACACAGATGGATGTATGATTAGTTTACAGGCAGATGAATGGATGTGGGACAGACTGACAGACAGACCTTCAGACAGAAAGACAGAAATGCACACTGACAGACAGACAAACAGACAGACTACCAGACTGAGAGACAGATATACAGTCACGCCAACAGACAGACAGACAGAGTCAGGCCAACAGACAGCATGGCCAGCAGACAGTGAGGCCAACAGACAGACAGACAAACAGACAGACTACCACAACAGATAGTAAAGGCTAAAAAACAGACAGACAGACAAACAGACAGGTAGACAAACCAACAGGCAGACAGACAGACAGTTGGACTGACAGATAGCTAGGCAAATAAACACACCAACAGATGTTTGGGTTAGTTTTCATCAAATAGTCGTAAATGTTATGAAAATGTTTTTATATTCTTGATCAATCGTATCGCTAAATTTGTTAACTTAACTTCATTAAGAACTCTTCTTTTTATTCCTCAGGGTCCTCTGTGCTCTCGTGAACTCATTTGTTCCAGAGACCTTCACAACAGAAGTCTTACTAAACGACCGGTGAGCTTTCGATATCTTTTGGGTTGATCGAATCATTGAATGGGTAACTGATTTACCCTCAGATTTGAAAGGGGCTTTAGATGTAAAAAAAATTGTTTGTGCAATTTCCATTTCTGACCATCACAGCACCAAAAATCCAAACCAGCTAGACTGCAACACAAGGTAAAGCAACGCATCAGCCATAAATTTAGGATAGGTTTTTTTCTTGACGACTAGTTCGAACTCTTCTACTTACACGTTATTGCCAGTGGTTTCTAAATGTTACAAACATAATGCATTAAGAACAGAACAACAACTGTAATTAGAACATTGGCCTCCTCTTCAGTTGTGTGTAGTATGTGTGTGAATTCTCTGCTGTCTGGGTTATTAACACAACGGCAGACTGGGATCCCGTTTTCCTTACAATATCAGTACGATATCAAGCAGACAAGTGAGGAGAATATAAGAAAAATAATAATAATAACAAAAAGGGATTATAAGTTGGCCAGATACTAAACTCTCCAAATTAACGTCATAAGAATTGTATAGCAGACAGAAAGGAGCATTCCTAATAAAATCTTGTAGAAGCCGGGATGGAGAACATTCTGATGAAATAAAGACAGTCATTCCGGACTGCTTTGGTTTAGCTTCACTTTGCTTTGTGATTGGTTCAGAAACCTCGCGCCACTCTCTCAACCTATCAGATTCCAATGATAACCAATAGCGACTTAGTAACCCCACGTTTTCCCGCGCTTTAAACAGTTTGCTCGTCATAGAGCATTGTGAGAGTCAGCGGTATGGGTTACTTTGCTTACGTGCAAAAATGACGTTGTTCTCTGACCAATTTTTTTTTTCTTTTTTTCTTTTTTTCAGGTGGACAATAAACCTTGCGTTGAGGACAGCAGATCAGATGTTTAAATCTTCAAATCCCTTTGATTCTCAAGACTTGGTTGAGGTGAATTAAGCCCGAGATTTTGGCAGTAATCTGATTTTAGCAACGTATCTACATAGATGTAACAGGGCGAAGCTTCCAGAAAATAGTTTAAACCGGAACAGATACTGTTTGCTGTTAAGTATCTGGACATATTTTCGAGCTAAATAGGTTATTTTTATGAATTCCCTTCTCCTTCAGAAATTGATAAATTTATGAACGAATTTTCCATTTTCTTTTTGCCACCTTTAACGGGTTTTCACACGTAATCAGCTATATATGTACCTCTATCTCAGTGAATAATCTGCTTCCTACTTTCAGGGTGACATCATGTCTGTGTGCTGTTATTTTGGGTTTTTCTTCATGAGTGGATACAGATATCGACAAACCAGAGCAGTACTTAAGAGACTGGTAAGTTGTCTTAATCTGTAGCGCCTCTGTTGATGCTGAGAAAGATGTTTTTGAAAGCGGTGTCGCCGAATGGCCGAGTGGCCGAGTGGCTGAGTGGCCGATTGGCCAAGCTGCTGAGTGGCCGAGTGGCCGAGTGGCCGAGTGGCCGATTTCAACAGATCTTTCGGATTTCGGACTACTTTTTGCCTCTTCTAATCTGTTTCGATGCTATGATCTTGAATATTGCAGGATGAATTGAATGTCTTGAAAATTGGGATTAAAGACGAAATGGAACAGTTTCCATCTCTTATTACCAATGCAAAGGATCTAAAGAGAAAGAAAGAATTGGAGAATCTTAGATCAGTGTACGATGAAGGTAAGGTTCGCTTTCTTGTTATGAGAAATCCAACGGAACTTTAGCTTGCTTAATACTATTACTAAGTCCTGTATTGGAGCAAATTGTTTTTTGAAAAGTCGTAAGTAATCTTAGGTAGTTGCCGAGAAGCATAACTTCGCCCGTGTACTCGCTTAGTTTAGCATCTGTCGTATGTTATCGTAGCGCAAAGCGCTATTACGGGGAGAGTTTGTTAGTCATAAAGTTAGTGTTAACATGCGATCGTAGATTTTTCAGAAATCCAGTTTTTAGAGCAAAATTATGACATTGCTAAATGTAATGTTTGGATAAGACAAGTAGTGGAGATACAAAATAAGGTTAGTGATCCAAATTACGTTTTTGTGCTTTACTCGCCTGATTTTTTAGGCTTTGAATCAGAATTATTTTGCTTATTAAACCAAATTCCAGGATTCATGGTCCTAAATTTAACTATCGTTTTGTTTTTGACAGTGTCGAACACTAGTAGCAGAAAAAATTGTTCAAAGGTTTGATGTTGTTAAGGTGCCAAGGTAAGTTTCATACTTATACCTGATTGTCACAGTAGAGCGTCAGAATGTTATGCCATAAACAGAATTTTTGCCTTTTACAAAGACATACAGCGTGCCTTACAACGTAGAACAA